TGCAAGTGCCAGCAAAAAGAAACGTCGTCGCTTCTGCATGCATTGCGTGCCGTTTGTTGATGACGTGAAAGGATTATAACTCTTCAGAGGATGGCATTTAAGGAGGGAAGAAAGGAAGGAAGGAAAGAAGGAAGGAATATAGGTGAATCTTCATAAAATTAGGGGAGATTTATAACGAAATTAAGAGCGACGATTTTTCTTCAAATCTATTAATGAATCCGCCATCATCCAAGAGCACTTGAGAATGATGGCTAATTATTTTGCTGTTTTCAGTGTTACAATTTACTTCAAAATACAATTTCTGACGGATATATTAAACTTACTTGTTGTCCTTAATTTCTTTCTTTTTGATAATTCATGCAAAAAACAAAATGGCAAAACAAGCATAAGCCTATGCACGTAAAAACAAATAATCAAAATAATAATTTCTTTCACTCTTCGAGTGGGCCAGTTTCGTTTCAATCCACGAACAATTTGCCGACTGTAATACGAACCTTAACTTGAATCACTTTAGGATACCGAGGTTGCGCATTATCAGCGAGACGATCAAGCCAATTGACAACAAATTGAGGTGTTTCTTAGTGTTGGAGTTTAAGCTCATTGCCAGACAAAATAAGGTCACCGAACCATGCATCATGCATGAATAATAACTTAACTATGCCACAAATGACAAATTTAAGACTCATATACGAGCATTTTAGGTGGAATGGAAAATGCTAGTGAAGGGAACATCACAGATACAAAAACACAACCAGGATCTTCCCCAAAAAAGTCTGAAAAGTCTCTGTCAACTTCTGCCTCAAAACTCCGAGTTCGATCGTCATCCTTACCGCTTCCTTTACCAGAAACTGTTTATTTATTTATCACTACTCAAATATTCGACTCCGTGCATCTTTTGAACACTTCTTAACTCAGTGTTTGGTACGGCAGTGGGAAATTGATTTCTACATTTCAGGAGCCACGAAATCGTCCATTCGAGAACTTGTAGGTCGGCATTGATTTGCATTGAATAATTAGCTAACGGGCGAGCGAGAAATAATCTGCTCGGTAATAAATGTCGGTACGATCCCAGATGTATACACCCCTCATAACTCCCAAAACCAAAGCTTACCTTGAGTGTGGCTTAGAGGGAAATCAGTGACTGTGAATAGAAGCTAGTTGGTTACGAACCAGACTACAGCACTACAAATGAGAGCATTATTTGACTATGCGCGAGGGATATGCCCAAATATGGAACGCTTAGCTTGTCTC